TTCCCCTGAGGAAGGGGGGTGTCGGGGAGCTGGAGTTTTCAGCGTTGATATCTGTGGAGCACTTCACAAGGAATGCGGCCACTTCATTTAGGGGGAGTTTTCCATCTCCGTGTCTTTGCGGTTTGGTCGATGACAGTTAAGTGTAAGGTTAGTGCCTCATGATGTCAATGGTTCCGGACTGGTGTGGCCTCCATTTGTCCTCATTCTGTGGTCAGTTTGGTCAGCTGACCACCTCAGGGATCTCGAACGCCCTTGTCATAGTAGCCCATTGTGTGGTGGATGCAGTAGCTTCTCTCATTCTGGAGAACATTCCTCCTGTTTTCTTTAACTCCTCCGAGCTCCTTTTTTAACCTGGTTTGGTGGCTGGCCTTCAGAGTGGGCTCTTCCCTGACTGTCTGGTGATCCTAGTTGGTGTGTAAGTATGAGGTGCTAAAATGCCCATGGAGAGGGGTGGGTGCGTACTGAGTGCAGGTATTGGGCAGCGTGACCCACCTTTTATTTGGGGGCCTGTCTCCAACTGTGACGATTTATAGGTCATTTTTCTCTTGTTGAGCTTCCCCAGAGAGGAATCCTCTAGTTTCTTCCTGCCTTGGTAGGCAAGCTTGCTGTCAGGGTTCTTAGAGCTGAGAAGGAGGATGCATCTGTCTGGGACTCAGCAACCTGCAGAATTTTTTCTTAATCTGTTATTTAGTGTAGCCCTCAAGGGTTCAGCTCCTGCGTCTCCACGGTCTTGGCACTCAGCCTTTCCAGAGGAAAACTCCGTCTCCAGGATGAGGGAGGGAATGCTCCTGGTTTGGGTAGGGGGATCTGAAATAGCTATCCAGCGCATGGTCCTGTGTTTGATCCCACCCACACCGCTGCCTCTAGAGATGTCTCCTGTCTCAGGTTGAGTCCCCCTGTCCCTCCCCCCAGCACTCAGATGTTCTAGCCACTCCATCCACTGCTCCTTGGTGATCTGTTTCCTACTTTCAGAAGATTGGTTCTTGCCTCTGGTTGTCTCCTTTCCCCCATTGGTTTCTCTCAGATCTTTTTACTGCAAGGTTAATGGTGTTTTGAAAGGGAATAAAGGCAAATGACGGTGCATCTGCTGTGTTTAATGGAAAGTGAACACAAAGTGTTTAATGAGTGATCGAGAAGGGGGTAATTTATTTTGTTTTATCGTGTTTGAGGTCCAGCTTTTTGTGAAAAGCAATTTAAATAAAAGGACCATGTTGGAGAGCAGTTTATATTCACATCATAATATTTCAAACTAGTAAAAGTTATTGGGGGGGTGGGATATCAGAGACAAGTAAGTATGAGCAAGACATTTAGCCAAGGTCCGTGGACGTTTGGATGGTGGAGGTTTCCCCTCCCCTGGCCTTTTCTACAAATGCACATTTAATCTGGATTTTCTAGTTTTATCAGTACTAAGTGGTTGTTGAATACATGGACTTCAAATCTGCACAGACCACAAAACTGTATTTCTGCCCTGTGTAGGCCATGAGCAAATTATTTAACTGATTGGTGCTTAGTTTCCTGAACTAAAAATGGGGGAGATAGTGTTTTTCTCCCAAATTTATTAAGATTGAACGAAGTAACGTTTGTTAAGTGCTGAGCCTCGTGGGATCACTGCATACATGTCTTATTTCCTTCCGCATATTCTGGGCCTCCTTTTGCATCTAGTGTCACTGGTCAGTGTGGTGAGCCCAGTGGCTCTGCTCTTAATACCCTCACTCCTCAGTGTTGAGTAATTCGTTTCATTTTAAGTGTTGAGTCATTCTTATAGTTAGTGGTTGGCCTCTGAACAGAACACAGTTCAGACAGTTATGTGGGTGGGCATTGGATGCTTTCCGATGGCCTTGGGGTTCGATATTCCAACCGTTTGTAATACTGATACGTCCATGAGATGTAACCCACATTTTAAGAGAGTACTTACCACTAGAGTATATTTTTGAAGGATGTATGGGGTAGGTAGATTGGAGCCAGGAAGTACATTTTTTTTAGATATACTGTTATGACCTGAAGAGTTGGACAGGGACCAGTTGAGGTGAGCAGAGACTTATAGGTGGCTCTTGTGCAGTGGTGTGGTGGCCGATTGGGACAGTTTGAATAACTGGGCAGATAAAGTGGGTTATCTCCCTTAAGTCCTTAAAATAGAAAAGAGCAGATGACCAGAGAGAAATATGTTTGTGATCTCTTTTACCACAGGGAGTAGGTTCCAAACTGAACGTGAAGAAAGATTCTCATATTTGTCCTGGTTCCATCTCTGCCTGCCCTGTTTGGGCCCTTCCTAGTTTCTGGCTCCTCCACAGCAAATATCTCAGTTTCCCCTCTTGCCGGTCTTTTCCTCTATGCATATTCCTGTATGGATGCGGGTATGTCTCAGCTAAAATCTGAATCACACTTTGTGTTCTGTTGTATAGCCTACACCTCCTACTTACATTGTGAGCATATTCTCCCTCTTCCGCCCATAACCATTCCATTTTACCCTTTTAAAAATTAGCTTTCTGACATGGACAAATATTCCTTAGAGAAGAAGAATTCCAGGTGATGCAAATAAAGAGCGGAGGAAAGTACAAACTCACCGTGGAACACCTCCGGGGTAAAGGCTGCAGGCAGCCCCGGAGGGAGGGCACTCAGATCAGTGCGCAGACCTGAGACAGGACATTTGCGAAGTCTCACCGTGTCTCCCCCAAATACTTACTAATGACTGTAGTGCTTTTAACAAATGTCCAGAATTCCCTTGACACTCTTTCGTCCAGGAGGTGGACCTTAATTCTCTTCTTCTTTTCTAAACTTAGTGACTCGCTTACTTAGGAACAGAGGATGGAAAAGGAAAATTAGAAATCTTACAGTAGAGAAACATGAGAGCTGCCCCCAAACGCAGTGATCGTAGTTAGTAACACCAGGAAAAGCCATGCTGATATCATGCGATGTCACAGTAATATGTGACAAGGGGGCCATCTCTGTGGCATTCTTCCCAAAATCTGTAACCCCAGTCTAATCGTAAGAAAACATCAGGCAAATACAAATTGAGAGAAATACTTCAAAATATCAACCAGCAGGCTTCAAAATCATCAGGAAAAGTCATGAAAAAACAAGGAAAGACTGGGAAATGCCAGGAAGAGGAGACCAGGGGCACAGGATGACTAAATGCCACAGAATGCAGTGGAATCTCAGATTGGATCCTGGAACAGAAGAAGGCTTTAAAAACCATGGTGTCTAAAGTTTGAAATAATAGCCCTATTTGTCAAGTACGGTAAGCTTCTTTGATAATGCAGTTTATTTTAACACATAGTACATTATTGGATTATTTTTATTGTAGCGTAGGTGCTTTTGCAGTAAACCTTTAGATGGCAGCATCTCTCACCATAAAACCTCATTCTGAACAGACTTTCTCAGGTGTGTAAGGTGCTTCACTCAGAAGGATGCTCAGAACCAGCCTGACTCACCCCTTCAGTGTGTGGCAATGGAGCAGAGGCCCCAGAGGGTCAGGCCTTCGGCCTGGTGCTGAGCTGGGGGGAGAGCTGTGGACGGACCCCTGTCGGGCCCTCCCCCCACCACCCTTCCTCTCACAGTGTGAATGTTTCCTGGCTCTGTGGCCTTGTTAAAAGCGCACTTTTGGTATCAGGCAACCAAGGAAAACGAGAGTCCAGTGGGTGATTTTGGACCCAGATCTGATATGATTGAAAAGAACAGACAGAATAAGCAGTCTTTTGTTGTTGTTTGTTTGCAAGGAGATTTATTTAGATATAATTCTCATAGCATACAATTCACTCATTTAAAAGGTACACTGCAGCAATTTTCAGCATATTCCGAAGGTTGTGCAACAGTCACCATGACCTAATTTTAAAATATTTGATCACCCCAAAAAGAAGTCTTATACCCCTAAGCCATCACCCCATAAACCTGCATATCTCTCAGCCCCTGGCAACCTGGCATACATTGTTCCTATAGATTTCTCTACTCTGGACATTCCATATAAATGTAATCTTTGTGATTTTTGGGGACTGGCTTTTTTCAGCTAGCATAATGTTTTCAGGTTTCATCTGTGTTGTAGTATGCATGAATCAGTATTTCACTGCTTTCTATAAGTGCCCAATAAGAGAGATTCACTGCCCAATAAGATGCCATCGTGTGGATATATCACAATTTCATTGTCATCAGTTGATAGACATTTAGCTGCTACGAATAATGCTACTACGAGCATTCGTGCACAAATTTTCGTGTGAACGTATATTTTGCTGGGACATTCATTAGCTTCTGTGTTTAACCTTCTTGAGGAACTGCCCACCTGTTTTCCCAAAGAGGCTGTACCCAGGCATTGCACTAGCAAGGTGTGAGGGTTCTACTCTGTCTTACTAAGAATTCCAGATTTTCTGATAAGTCGTGGCTGAGGGAGTAGTGAGATACATAACCGTGAGGCTCTCTGGTGTCTCCGAATTGCAGGCCAGGCTAGCTGCTGTGCCTTTCTGAAGGCAGCTGTGTCAGCTGCCTGGAAAGCAGTCGTCTTCTCTGCCCCGCACAGGGCCCACACAGCACCCATCTGACTAAATGCCTGCGTCCTGTGGCTGCTCAGAGCATGTTGCTGTCACAGGCTGGCTGTGATCCTTGCTTCCTGACTCTGGAGAGACCAAGCAACCCAATCGTCTTTGTCCTGGTTAGAGAAAAATTCCCAATAAAGAACCCTTGGTCCCAAGCTGTCCAGGTTTGAACACGTCAAAATTGCTTATTTGACATACACCAAAGACGGCCATAGAGACTTCGCAGCAGAAGAGCAGCTTTGTTTTTGTCAAAGTTTACGTTCTCGAAACTGAGCTTATCCATTTCTTCTTTGGCAGCCCAGGCTGGACGTTCCAGTGTCTGTACTGAAGTGACTGTGTGTGTCTGTTCAAGGGACAGGAAAGGGCTGGCTCTTTCTTTAGGCATATTTGGGTCCTGGTGAGGACCTACACTGTACAGGCTGAAGCTTTGTTTGCATCTGGAAAAAATTAGCCACACTCAGCTCTTTCCCACTGCAGGTCCCGTCAGGAAGCCCAAGTATGTGGAAAGCCCCCGAGTGCCTGGAGACGCAGTTATAATCCCGTTCAGAGAAGTGTCCAAGCCAGCTGAGCCGAATGAGAATGGTAAGAATATGTTTTCAATGATTCTCCCCCCTAAAGATTTTACATAATGGCACTTCATTTCTGAGTGAAACTTGAGTGCCTCTTGCAGGAATATTTTGCTAAACTGAATGTGTTTGGGAGGTTTTTTCCCTTGGGCAGTTCCAGAGATCTGTTCAACTAATGTAAATTCCTGGAATTATATACATAGTGTAGGAATAGTTGAGTGGGTGCACATGCATTGTTGGAGGGTTGACTCTTCTTTCCTCTCAGTTTTGACTTCCCTGGCATGGAGGTGGGGGATAAAAAAGCAGCCACTGGACTGCCTCCAGGACTTTGTTTTGTTTTGTTTTTCGGTACTCCAACGTTTTAAAATATTTAATAACAGACTTTGTCTGAAAAGCTGAAAATTTAGCTGGACAAAGCTTATAATAATTAGCTTACATTTGGTAGCCTTTGAAAGCGTATGTTTTAACATCTAAAAAATTTTTTTTAGGGAAACATTGAAGTAAGGCAAAAGAAAAAATCTCCAAACTGATTGAAACCTTTTCAAGAAGACAGTTTATATTTTCTTTTTTCCCCCTGTAGCTGGAAATGTGTAACAGACATTATAAACTTACAACATTGTATGGATGTATTAATAGTACTTTATGTTTCTAAATCAATGCAAGAATTTACCCATTGTTCCTTTCTTGAGGAAGGGGGTCCCCCAACTCACAACTCCATGGTCTTTAATTTGTGTGTTTCGAATTTACATCCTATTTTCCTAAAGAAACATGTGTTTAGGAACCCTGGCTTATGTAGGCAGACCTGTTTTTCCTCCATGTGGGCACAAGCTTATGTGTTAATGCTGGAAGAGAACTTAGGAAAACTCATCCTTATTTGCACTTTGAAATACCTGGCACCCGCTCTCCTGAGTTGGGGGTGGGAGGGAGTGGGAGCAGAACTCCTTTATGTTCTAACCACCAGGTATGTATTTCGTGTTTCTGCTGAGGTATGGGGGAGTAGGTATGAAGTAGGACATGGTAGTAGGAAAACAGAGTGGGGTGGTGGTGGTCAAAATAAAGCTAAAAACAAGCTGGGGGAGAACTGGCAGACGATGAAAATCAGGAAGAGCAGTTTAGCATGGGTGGTGGATGAGACGGGGCCAGAAGCTGGGCATTTGGGGCAGGAAAGAGGTGGTGTTGTGTGCATCTTGGAATGAGAAATTCCACCCTCTTCCCTTCTGTCCAGACACCCAGTCATTTGGTTTAGGTAAGAGGTTCACAGTGGGATTTGTGCTGAGGACGGGCAGGCAGAGTGTGTGGTGGGGAAGAGGGGAGAGTCCACAGTGGTATCTGGTTAAGACAGCCATCCTACCTGCATGAAGGCCCTCTGTGTTGTGGATTCACGTGTGCAAGGTGTTGTGTGTGGATCTGTTCTCTCATTTTTGTCCCAGGTGTTGAATGGAAAATAAAAACCTGTTCCTCTAAAGTGAATATCAGTAATTGAATTTATGGGCTGTCTGCCCATTTCAGAATAAGCCTGCCACCTCTTGCCCTCATTCCCACCCCTGAAGTGTTTGTAATGCTGGGCGGTTATGTCCCTGGCATTTTGGCTGGCCTAGGCTCCATTATATAACTTCTCCTTTTCTGGGAGAGAACATTGTTGAGGTCCTTCCTAGAGCTTATGACTTCCCCTAGAGTGAGAAGGGGGCAGAAATTTAGGATTTGCATTGGGCAAAGAAAAGAGGTTATAAATAGTTTCCATTGTCAACTTCCCTCCTTTTGCTCAAGGTGGAATTGGCTGTCTTTCTTGGGGTGAAGGAGCATTCTTATGCTTGGCTGCCAGCTGAGATGAATTCAAGTGTAGTGACTGATATTGCTGGAGTCACCTGTGCTTTGCATGTGCACTCCTGAGACTGAGCTCTTAGATTTGGCATCACCTATCTCCACGGGATCTGAAATTATGACATACCTGGGCTCTGAACAAGGACAAGAAGTTTCTAGAAGTTTCACCTAGATTTAAGAAACAGGGTATGTGTTCCCTTTTTTGGTGTCTGGAAAAGGGGCGTACTTCATGTTTGTGGGCACATGGTCATATGTGGATAGTCATGGTGTTGGTGGGAGCCCAGGCAAGTATCTGTTGGACGATGAGGAGGTGGTTGCCTAACAGTTCAACTTGACAAATAGTAAAGAATGGTGTGTTTTGTAATTCCCATGGAGTCCTTTAAATTTCAGTGGAGTTAATTAAGTTTGCCATATTAAAGTGTAAATGTTATGTCCAGGTCATTGAACTAAAGGAGAGGCTGGAGTGATTTAAAGCTAATTGAGTTTGAGTTTTTACCCAAGTATGTACAGGTCCACAACGAACAAACCCTAACTTCTAGGGTTTCATGTCATCACTTAAGTTTTAATTTAAAATTTAAGCTTATGTTTTCCATATTTCCTTTGAGCATTTAAAAAAAAACTGTAAGACAGTTTTCTGGGTATTGTCAATAATAGCATTTCAGTTTTCACCAGACTAACCAACTCTATGAAAACAGCTCCTGGTGAAGTGCTTTGGAAATTTCATACAGACTCATGAAATAGCAGGTTTATTCTTAAGTGTTTATAATACCGTTCCTGGACTAAGCCACCCTGCTTTATGGCCCTGTAGCTCCACAAATTTGTGATTCTTAGCTCTTTGTTTAAAGTTTAAATAAAATTAAAATAAAACCAATGAGCTCTTTGTATTTGTTCATTATAATTTGTAAGTAATTATATTTACGTGTAATTTGCATATTTTAGCCATCTGGGAAGTGGGTTATATGGGCAGATGAACATTTTTTTTTAGTATATGTGCTGCTGAAGTGAGCACTAACATTCTTAATGTAAGCAAAGAGCCTGCTACCATTTGCATTCACTGGGATTTGTCTTTAGGGAAAGACATTCTACTTTATTCAGTGCTTTAGAATATTTTTGAAATCTAGCATTTTTGACTCTGGCAAAAAATGGTGACTTAATGAGGTCCTCAAACAAAATGCAGTCCTTTTCCCGTCACATCCTAATAAGCTGTGTCACAAAGAATCGGCTCTTCACAAACAAGCTTTCTATCCTAAACCAACATATTGTTTAGGGAGAAAATGTCATTTGCTCACAAAATGATACCTCTGCCTTAAGGGCAAAAAAAAAACCCCACGTAAATTAGAGAGGATTATTAAGTTATAATAGGTTTCACAGCTGTGTTTCTTTGAATTAGGGGCAACCATAATCCATTTAGGTTTGCTTCAATTGATCATTAGCTACTTGAGTAATGATCGATTTTGATGGGGAGGGGTGAGAAAGTTTTAGTGTTATGAGTCATTACTTGATGAAGATCAGTCTCAAAATATGATTAAACATTTTTTCTGGCAACCTGGTTAGCAAGTAAAACTGACACATATGAAACAGCAGAATAATTAAATGCAAAACTCTCTTATTGGGAGGAGTGAGTCATTTTTAGATACATGTTTAAGTAAATATCGATGCCTTATGTTTTTGGTTACTTTCAGACTTTCAGAAAGATATAGAGAATGAAAAAGCTATAAAGAATAATGGCATCTATCTACTGTCTACTGACTACTCAGGTTAACAGATAAAACAATTGTATTTTCTTCTGAGCATATTCTTCTTCTTTCCCAAGAGGTAACCTAGCTCCTGCTATTTTTCAGCTTCTTAGAATGGTGATGCACTATAGGATGGAGTGAGGCAAGCAAGGAGACTAGGATTAGAGAGTGGCTAAAAAATTATTTCAGTAGTTAAGAGAATAAGATCTCAAATTAGAACTGGATCAGGAAAGAGGAGGTGATGAATAGGCAGATTCTTGAGGAATTGCAAGGACCTGCAGCCACTAGACACAAAGATAATGACCTGAAGGCTGTGAGAGTCCATTAGGGGCAGGGGAGGAGAGCAAACCATCCATTTGGCTTTGAGGTCAGTTTCAAGCACGTTGAATTTGAGGTGCTGGTGAAACATTTGGGCAAAAGTGTTCAATAAACAGTTGGAAAGTCAAACTGGGGCTCAAGAAAGAGCTCAGGATGTCAGCTGGGCAGCCCTTTGTTTAGAGGAGACTAGGTATGGTAGACTAAGGACAAGGTCATTGAGAAGGGTGGACTGAGAAACTTCGGTATTTAATTCATGTGCTATGAATAAGGTAGAAGCACCAGTGAAGGGGAAGGGGAAAAACCCATTAGAAGACACGGTATCCTGGAACCATGGATTTTCCCTCTGTGTGTCTTTTATGATAGTTGCCACTTGCCTGTGGCCAGACGGGATTTGCAAGGTCACAGTCTACAGGAAAAACAAAAGAGGAGGTAGGCTGTTTAAAAAAAAAAAAAAAAAAAGTGCTGTGCCTAATAGGGATGTTTGAGGAGAGTTGTGAATGCGAATGAGTTTGAGTTGTAGGTTGGTGATAAGGAAATGGAATTGGTGGGGAATGACCCCTTTTTTTAATCCCAAGAAGTTGAGAAGGTAAGGGAAGATGAGAGATCAGTAACTAGAGTGAGGAGTGTGTATGTAACTGTGGCTTGTTCATTTATTTTTAAGAAAAGATAGAATGTAATACAATTGGACACTTTAAAGCAGAGGTTCTCGAAATGTAAGTAGGCTGTGGACTTCTTGGTGGCTCTGAGACACTTGCAAGGGTCCCTGAGATCAATACCCTTCTTCACAATAACACTGAGAAAGGTATTCTCATTTCTCTTGCATTGAGATTTGCACTGATGGTGGAAAAAAAAAAGCAAACAACTATCACTGGTTAAATTTCTGATGCCTTATTACATGCCAAGGTAGGGGCACCTGCTATTTTAGGGCCACACATGGTATTTTCCACTGCCACTCGCATCAAAAATAATTCACTGAAACTGTCCTTGATGAAAGACTAAAAATAATGAATGTTACTAAATCCTGATCCTTGAGTACTCATGTTTTTAATGTTCTGTGTTGATGAAATGGGAAATCCGCAAAAAGCACTGCTTCTGCATGCTGAAAGACGGTGGTTGTCTTCGGGAAAAGAACTTGTGTGAT